TATTTATTTATTTATTTATTTATTTATTTATTTATTTATTAAATTTCTCACCCGCCCATCTCCCCCCAATGGGGGAACTCTGGGCGACTCACACCAAACATTAAAAACATAAATATGTATAAATACATAGATCAATTTAAAAACATTTCTAAAAAAGGGAAAGGAGAGTCCAAGTTTAATGTATTTAATACATTAAATAATGTATAATGTATTAAACTTGCATGCCGCCCATCTCTCAACAATTCTACCAAAGGAATTACAATAAAATCAAGACAAGATAACCATTAAAGATGAAGATTATCATCCTCATCATCCCCCCAACATTTTGACAAGAATATGAATCATGAAAGGTAAAAGACAGGTAAAAAGGATAACAAGGTAACTTACAATTAAGGTACGATTAAGTAAAGATGGGATCAAAATGTCATGGAGATTTTTCAATGTCATTGGAAAAATTGACAATGTGTCGTTCATACCCATAAAGCTATGAAATATGAATTAAAAATCGCTCTTCGATTTAAGATGAGAATACCTGAAAACGTAGGATAATGGGATAACAGGCTGTCATATATTAGATCAACACTGGAAATAAAATGTTTCATAAAATAATATAGACCCTAAATGTGGAAAAATATAAATTTGGGGTGTGGCCCAAATCTGTAGGCCCTATTTTTCCAGCAAGATCTTCTCTACCTCTTAACCAGGTTTAACCCTGTTTTGCAAAATTAACCAAGGTCAGCTGGGATCTGACACTTTCTGTAACACCTATAAGAGGTCAGCAATTCCACGCAGCATCAGGACTCTCTATAGGTGCATTTGAAATCTTTTGAATGGCGTGAAGGAGAACAGCACGAAAAAACAGCAGATTTGCTAAGGCAGAAACGAAATGTGATTTGATTTACATTCATTAAAATTAAATATAGTTACTGTCACCAACCTGCCAGCTATTACTTCATTTATGAAGGCAAATGTCTCAATGTCAGATGCAGTTCCTGAAAGGCGAAGCATTTCACACATGCTCAGAGGCAACGTTTCCCCAGTCTTGGTTATCAAGGTTTGGCTAGCTGCTTTTCAAACAGCTAACCCTGCCTTCAAGCAGACGTAGCAAGGCAGGGAAACCTCATATTTTAAAGTTTTGGGGTGAATCCTGGGCGCTGTGGCTGAGCGCTGCTGAGCACCGCTTATGATTTAGACAGAGTGCCTTCTGCACATGCTCAGAAGCTCAGTCATCCTGCTCAACCATCCTAGGGTGGAGTCAAATAATCTGGGAAGAATGCCCCAATTAGCCTTTTTTTTTTTTAATGTTAATAGTGGGAGTCCTTTTGCTCCGGAAAATCTGTAAGTTTCATTGCATGCTTCCTCCCCTGATTAATTTATGGATGGAGCTCCAGGTCCTTCAGTTGTAGGATCTGCTTGAGGAGGGGGCAGATGGAGCCTTCCCCCCTTTTCTCACTGCTCTTTCTATCTTTTATTCCTCACTAAAAACAAAAACGGAGAGCCAGCCAGCTGGGGATCCCCCCGGGCAGGGGGAATGGGGAAGAAGTGATGGGAAAAGACCAGGGGGCGAACAAGGAGATGGTTCGCTGCAGGTCTGATTCAGCAAGGAGAACAAACTCATGCTGGAATGAATGAACCCAGGCTCTCCACCTGGATAAACTCCCCGTGACCAAGACGAGAGATCAGCCAGCCAGAGTTCTGATTTCATTTGGAGGTCCAGATTCTTGCAATCCACAAAGCTGGTCCCCCCCACCCCAGAGCATCTCAGGTGCTTCCAAAGACAGGTCCTGGGTTTTGCTTGGCCCCAGGACTGAGCTGGGCATGGAAGTGGGCAAAATTTCCCTTCTTCCTCAGCAGAGAGAAGGCGACCCTAGGACATGGACGCGATGGCCAAATCCAGCTTGCAGATTCAAGGGCTCTTCTGTTCTGTTCTCCTGTCGTTCTCAGGGAGCTTGAAGATTTCTTTCGAATTTCATAAAGTTGGAAGGGATCCCAAGGACCATCCAGGCTAACCCTCTGCAACATGCAGGAAGAAGTGTTCAACCGTCCACAGGAGGAGTGGCTGGCCCCTTCTCAAAAATCTCCAGATGTGGAGAAGGTACCGCTTCTGTTGATCCGCTGTTCCACCGGTGAGCAGATCTTCTGTAGGGAGTGCTTTCTTCTACTGAAAGAAATCTAAATAACTGCAATTTGTACCTGTTCTTTCTGGTCCTAATTTCTACGGTGACATGCCACAATTCAAAGCATCATCAGGGTCCCTTGTAGACCCCACAGCTAAAGGTACAAATGTTAAGCTGAAATAATCTCCTGGTCACTTTATGGATGTATCTATGAAGTCTTCTACTGTTTTTTTTTCCCAACTCCCCAATGCAGCCTACACTCCTCGGATTTCCTAGTGGTCTCCTATCCATATTCCAACCAAGCTGGCTCTGACTTAGTTCCTGACTCCTAGCCAGATTTGACATGTGCCACCTTTGCTGAGTCAGGTCCTCTTAAAAATAAATCAATTAATACAAATTGGCCATAGTTTGTCAGGAGGGTGCCCACTGCCAAGCAAAATGATACCTGTTCAGCTAAGGGGGGAGTGGTCGAGAGCATCCCATGAATTTGGAAAGTGTTGTGGGAGCACTCACAAAATGGCTGCCCTGTGGGTGGGGCCATCCAAGATTTTTCTTTTCTCCCCTTGTTTACCGGTAAGGCTAACCTTCAGTGCCCTCTCCCAGAAAGGGGCTAGTTCATTCCTCCTTGGGAGAGTCTCTTTGCCGCCTGGCTAGCGCCAAAGCAACGGGTGTGTGTGTGGGGGTGTGTGTGGAATCTTTACCCTTTCGGGGTTTTACCAACTTGCCCTGCCCTCTCTTTTGGGGGGTGGGTGCCCCCTTCATTTCCTCCCTTTCGAGGAAGTGGAATAGCACTTCCCACTCTCCTGCTTTCCTTTGGTAGCACCCAACCCCCTTCTCTTGTGAACCCCCACCTGGGCCAGACCATGCTTAGAAGGGGGGGTGTTTTTCCATGCTTCCTTCTCTCCCCTACCCCACTTTTTTTCCTTTTCCCCAAAAGCTGTTTCGCGTGGCCTCGCTCCATAAACCCCTTTCCTTCTTCGCTGCGTTCTCTCCCAAACTAATTTCGGATTGGATCCAGATTGCCTGTTTTTGTCTCCCATTGCTAATTAAACCTGATCTGGCAAACACGGAGCCCCCAGGCCCCCCCATCCGTCTCAGT